TCCTGTTCCAGCAAATAAACACAGCAGTATTGTTCTTGAGCCATTTCATATTTACCCTCACCCCCTCATACAACTGCTCAACTTTGAAAGGATCTGGAACTAATTTACTCATTTAATCAATCGGGAAAGAGTTTCCTTAAAGGAACAATCCATTCAGCATCACTGCAGTGCTCTGCCCTGGCTCCAGAAGCATCCCTGGGTCCTGTCCTTCACACTGACATTTGAAGTTCAAACAATTGTAGGGCAGGGAGGGAATGGAATAGTTGTAGAATGGACAGCCAGGCTGCAGGTCCTGCAAACTCAGGGGGAGGACCCAATCATACATCCATGACAGTCCCACTCAGTGTGACAGTTGTATTGTTGTACATGCTTTCCAGCCAGATGCTAGGTCTAGCTGGAGTGAAAGACCTAAGACATTGCTGTGCATGGAGAAGGAAAGGAACAAGAAACAGTTTATGTTTGGTGCTTTTTTCTGGTCTCAACTTTTCCCATTTTTTTTTTCCTCCTATTCAGGTAGAATGAATATATTGTTCTCTGTAGATGACGTGAAGTTGACACAAAGGGTTTAGAAACACACACATTGTCTCTTTTCAAACTAGGTATAAATGACAAGGCTTTTAGGAGGCCAACACAGCACAGAGTGTGGGCTCTGCATTCTGTCTGGGCGGAAGTCCTAGCTCCCCACTCAAGGGCTGGTACTTCCAATTGCTTCATTGCTTTATCACTTTCCCATCTATAAAGTAGAAAAAAATATGATAGTTCCTTGGGAAGAAATAAGTTGTTAGAGTGGAGAGTAGATTAAGTATGGAAATGCTCATAAAGTACTAAGAACAGAGTTGCTGCTTATTAATTATTCTTATTATTTGACTTGGGTGGAAATGGATAATCTAAAACTTAGGACTAACCTCAGCAGCTTGGTAGATGCTAGTCTTTGTTATTCCCACTTGGATTGTCATTAAGAAAAATAGGGTCAGCACTGGTGGCTCATGCCTGTAATCCTAGCAGCTCAGGAGGCTAAGATCTGAGGCTCATGGCTCAAAGCCCAGAAGATTGTTATCTCCAATTAACCAGCAGAAAGCCAGAAGCGGGGGTGTGGTTCAAGTGGTAAAGTATTAGACTTAAGCAAAACAGGCAAGTAAGAGCATAAGGCCCTGTGTTCAAGGTCCAGTACTAGCAAAAAGAATGGGGGCAGGGGAGGGAAACAGGAAGTATTCTATTTCCTAAATGACTAGAATCTCAATGGACTCTGTACCTAGGAGACTCTTCCACTAATGGCTCTTTTAGCAGATCCTAGGTTTGTACCAGCTGAGGGCAAAACTGATCACCTAAAGGAGAAAGATGTTTTTCAATCTCTTCTTGAGAAATCTGAACTCTTTTCCTTCATGAGTTACATGTTCTTCTAAAATCAACTGTCAGTTTGTACATTATTCACTACCTTAGAATCCTATCTCTGGACACATAGACACATGTCTATGGCTCCAACCCAGTATCCTATAAACAAAAAAACATGGGATTCTACTATCAAGTCTCCTTCCCCCTTTCCATTATGTTGTCTTCATGCAGTCAAGGTATTTTATCCTCTTCACCACTCCATTTCCCTTCCTTTGCTCTTCCATCTTCATTCCCACTGATCCCCTCCTAGACAGTTCCCACAAGCCACACTAACACTACTATCACCAGCATGTTAGGCTTATAGTCCACAAATAAAGAACATGTAATATTTCACTTTCTGAGCTTGGCTTATTTCACTTAACACGAGCCTCTTCAGTTCTATCCATTTCCCTTCCAATTATATAGTTTTATTTTAAATTGTATTGTCAAGGTGATGTACAGAGGGGTTACATATGTAAGGTAGTGAGTACATTATTTGTCAAACTTGTTACCCCCCTCCATTTTCTCCCACTTTCCCTCCCCACCATATCGGTTTATTATTTTATAGCTCAGTAGAATTCTGTGGTATAAGTGTACATGTTATGTGTGTCTACTCACAAGATAGATATATTTTCTTGATTCACTCATCAGTTGCTAGGTACCCTGCTAATCCCACAATCTGATTAACATGAACACATGGCTGCAATGAACATGCATGTGCAGGTATTTTTCCAGTATATTGATTTACTCTCCTTTGACTATATGCCCAAGTGGTATGGTGGAGACATAAGATAGGTCTATTTTTAATGTTCTGAGAACCCCCCCATGCTGATTTCTATAGTTGCAGATCTACTTTACATTTTCACCAACAGTTCCTTATTCCCCTGCATCCTCACACCGGCATTTGTTGTTTATTTGCTTGATGACTGCCATTCTGACCAGAGTAAGATGGACTTTTGATTTTCACTTCCTTTATGGCTAAGGAACAATCTTTCATTAGCCACTCGTGTTTCTTCTTGAGAACAGTTTGTTCAAGCTGTTGTCTACTGATTGTTGTCTTTTCTCCAGTGGATGCTTTTGGCTCCTTCGGTGGCCCACTTTTTAATTAGATTTCTTTTTATTATTGAATTATAACAGAATGTCATATTTTCTGCAAGTCTCTTATTAAATATAATTTAGAGTATTTTCTCACATTCCATGGATTGCATTTTCACTTTGCTCTGATATCCCTTGGAAGCTCAAGTTCTTTTCTTTGAACTCTGATGATACCCAATTATTTTTTTCTTTCATTTTTTTATACTTTTGCTGTCCTAAGAAATCACTGCCAAATTCACAATGACAAAAATGTACCCCTTTCTGTTCTTTGAAAAGTTTTTAATTCTGCTGGTCGCCGGTGGCTCACACCTGTAATCCTAGTTATGCAGGAGGCTGAGATCTGAGGATCGCCGTTCAAAGCCAGCCTGGGCAGGAAAGGCCATGAGACTCTCATCTCCAATAAACCACCAGAAAACCGGAAGTGGCTCTGTGGTTCAAGTGGTAGAGCACTAGCCTTGAGCTGAAGAGCACAGGGGTAGCACCCAAACCATAATTCAAGCCCCACAACCAAGAAAAAAAAAGTTTTAAACTCTTACATTCAGGCCAGTGAGTCATTTGAATTCATTATTGTATATGCTGTGAGCAGGATTCCTGCTCAATCTTTTGCATGCATATGACCAGGTGTCTCTGCGCCACCTGCTAAAAATGGCTTAATTCCTCATTGAATTACTCTGTCAGCCTTATTGAGAGAGAGAGAGAAAAAAAAGCAACTGACCACAAATGTGAGCATTTCCTTCTGATTCTCATGTCCACTGACCTGCACGTCATCTACCCATATACCTAGACCACTCTGTCCAAATTACTTCAGGTTTCAAAATGGAGGTATTTGAGTACTCCAATATAATTTTTTCTTGCAGATTATTTTGACTATTCTGGGTTCTGCAAAGAAGCCAGCTGATGATATTTTGATAGGGACTAAGTTATATCGATAGAATAATCTGGGAAGTACTACCATATTAACAAACCTATGTCTCCTAATTAATAACCTGGAAAAATATTCCCTTTTTTTTTCCAAAAAAGTTGTTTGTCTTTTTCTTTTTGGGGGGGGTTGTTGGCAACACTTAAACCATATACCCCAGTTCTATTTGTTTTTGTTATTTTTACAGTTCGGTCTTTTTTTCCCCTTTTGTGCCAGTGCTGGGACTTGAACTCAAGGACCTGAGCACTGTCCTTGAGCTTTTGTGCTCAAGGCTAGTACTGCTCTGCCACTTGTCTCACAGCTCCACTTCTAGCTTTTTGCTCATTAACTGGAAATATGAGTCTCACAGACTTTCCTGCCCTGGCTGGCTTTGAATCATGATCCTAAGATCTCAATCTCCTGAGTAGCTAGGATTATAAGCATGAACCACAAGTACCCAACATTTTCCTCCTACCTCTACTTCCTGAATAGCTGGGATTACAGATGTGTGTTGCTGAATATAGTTTTTAAAAAAGGCAGCTGTTTCTATAGACAAGCATTCACTTCTGTTAAAATGTTTTATTAACAGCCAGCCACCTGTGGCTCACACCTGTAATCCTATCTACTCAGGAGACTGAGATCTGAGGACTCCCGTTCAAAGCCAGTTTGGGCAGGAAAGTCCAGGAGACTCTCATCTCCAAGTAACCAGCAAAAAGCTGGAAGTGGAGTTGTAACTCAAGTGGTAGAGGACTAGCCTTAAGCAAAATGCTCAGAAATAGCATGCAGGCCTTGAGTTCAAACCCCAGAACTGGTACCAAAAAATAAAATTAAAAAAAGGTACTCCCATACATTTTTAACTCTTTTAAAGTTAAAGTTCTGAATTTCATTTTTACTTACTGTTGATTATAAATACAATGTTTATATATTGATCTTGTATTCTGCAACATTATTGAATTTATTCTAATAGATTTTTAGTAAATTTCTTGGACTTTCTGCACAAAAGCTCATGTCATCTGAGAGTACATAAGTTTACTTCTTCCTTTCCAGTTTAGACACCTTCTATTTTGTCTCCTTATCTACTTACTGCCACAATAACTAGCTCCAACTTCCAGTACTGACCAAATAGAAGTAGCAAGCACAAAGCATCCAGTCTCATGTTCAAGTGAAGTTTCCAAACATAGAAGTCTGATTTTATTTTTCCAGGCACCACCAGCTTTTTGTTCCACCAGAATTTAGTGAGAACTCCATTCTTTAAGCTTTAACTAAAATGTCACTTGGGGGGAGGGTGGGGAGGGGGTGGGGGTGGGGCACCTTCCCTGCACCTCCAATCCAGACGCACTTGTCATAACTGCAACAAGGCATGTCAATACCTCCCTCCCTCTTACTTGGTCCAACCTTGCTCAGAGCTGTGAACACATCACTCGCTCTTGCTCCACGCCAGCTTCAATTGCTATGCTGTTTCCTGACCTTTGGTAGGGACACTCTTCTACAAATTCTATTTCTCTTCCTCTACTTTACTCAACCTTATATGCAGCACCTTACAATCTGGTACTCATGAACCCTTACTAGCCTCTGCATTGTTTGGATGCTTCCTAAAAGGAATGTAAGTTTTGCCCAACAACAGAAGATATCTTACCTTCAACAGGGCCAATCTGATTGGTCACAGCAAATCTCAGCACACCTTCATCTTCATTGTACAAGGCAAAGATCCGGTCCACTGTCAGCTGCTGGGTGGCAGGCATAGCCCGGTGTCTAGGGGCATGCCTACACACCTGGTAAGTGACATTCTGGTGTAGCCGGTATGACCATGTTTGGTTGATGTCACCCAAAGTAAGAGAGTAGTCTCTGGAACTAGTGGAGGTCACAGCTGTAACATTTTACAGGCCAATTGGTAAATATTTCTAAATATTAATTAAATTTTCATGTGGGGTGGGTTTTTCTACAGTTATTGTTGGTTGATATTATTGTTGTTCTGATACTGGGGCTTGACCTCAAGGCCTGGGCGCTGTCTCCTACCTTTTTAGGCTGACTTCGAACTGCAATCCTCAGATCTCAGCCTTCGGAGTAGCTACGATTACATGTGTGAGCTATAGGCTTTCCTGCGCATTTTAAAGGGCAAGACCAAGAGGTCAAGTCTCATCTGCCAACTCCAAATGTCACATTTGCTTCATATCATTTGCAAGGATTCTAAGACTTTTTAGAGCAGGCTGAAATCATCAGAACAAGGTTACAGGATAAATTCTAATAATCAATATTTCAGCTGGGCATGGTAGCTCATGCCTGTAATCCTAACTACTAAGGAGGCAGGAAAGGCTGTGAGACTCTTATCTCCAATAAACCACTTAGAAAACTGGAAGTGGTGCTGGGGCTCAAGTGGTAGAGGACTAGCCTTGAGCTGAAGAGCTGAGGGACAGCGCCCAGGCCCAGAGTTCAAGCCCGCGACCGATAATTTTTTTTTTTTTTACTTCATACCCAAGGGTAAACAGCATGGTCAGGAACTATATTTTATCATCACTACCTCTCCCCAACAATTTTTTAATTGATTGATTATATTATTACTTTTTGAAAGGACCCATTCTGTGTACAGGAGCCGACCCTCTGCTCACTCACACCATCCATTTCACAATAAAATAAAAAATGAGCCGGGCACTGATAGATCATGCCTGTAATCCTAGCTACTCAGGAAGCTGAGATCTGAGGATTACAGTTCAAAAACAGCCTGGGCAGGAAAGTCCGTTAGACGCTTATCTCCAATTAACCACCAGAAAACCAGAAGTGGAGTTGTGGCTCAAGTGGTAGAGGACTAGCCTTGAGCTGAAGAGCTCAGGGACAGCGCCCAGGCCCAGAGTTCAAGGCCCACAAAAACAAAAGACCGACAAAAACAAAAACAAAAAAACATGATTCTGAACTCATTTGGTATGCCACATATTGTTGTAGAACATTCTATATGAGACAAGTAAAATGCTCATTTTAGAGATGTAGAAGCTGGTTACACATACCTGAGTCTGAGTAATGGTAAAGCTCTTTGTAGGGAGCCATGTGGGCTGTAAAATTTGCTGGGATGTAGGGCACCTGGCCTTGGATATCGGTCCTCATGCTCAGATAGTTCTCTGGGTCGAGTCCCTCAGCAGTTTGAGTGATGCGAAGCCTCTCCCCTCCTGGGTAGAAAATAACTTCCATGTCATGAGTAAAGGTGGCCCCTGCAGAGGACAAAAATTCAGACAGGGGTCCAAAGAAGCTCCACTTACATGATTACCAGTACTGGCTGAGCACAGTTCTTACCTAGTATGCCTGAGGCTGTGGGTTTGATCCCCAGTACTGCAAAGTCGAAATAAGTGCTTTTCAGTCTGTACTTCCTCCTCCCAGTTTCTACTGCTATTGGAGGTAGTACCAGAGGTGATTAGCTGATATCCAAACTAAGTCCTATCAGCTGTGGATGCCCTAAATCCCCCACATTTGATATTAGAGTCTCATTTCCTCCCTTACTTCATACTCTTTCTCTTTATACGAGCTTGTATTCTGTAAGAAATACGTTCTTGGGAACATCCTGGACTTTGTTCTGAGGTTTCCAGAATTAGCAAAAATAAACCAGCAAAAACAAGACATGAAAAAAAAAAACATAAACCAGGATATCCAGATATCTTAAATTTGCATTTCAGATAAACATGGATATATTTTTCTTATATACTTCATGACTACTTAGGGAATGTTTATACTTTGAAAAATTATGTATCTTAAATTCTAACTGAATGTTGTGTGCTATGTTTTATCTACTTTTGACCCAAGATTTTATTTAAATCTTGATTAAAGGTAAGATCTTATAAACAGCTATTAAAATCTGCAGTTTCTCTCATTTTGTGTTCAAGAAAAAAGAAATAAGCCCTTGTAGATACATAAAAAGCCAAAAAGTTTCCTTCATGCTATCAAAGGAGGTCCTTGGCCTGGTATGATGGCACATGCCTGCAGTCTTTGCTACTCAGAAGGTAGAAGTAGGAGGATCCTAGTCCAAAGCCAGCCCAGACAAAAATATGATACCCTATCCTAATAAGCTAAAAGCAAAAAGACCAGAAGTCCTGAGCTCAAGCCCCTTTACTAGAATAGGAAGGAAGGAAGGAAGGAAGGAAGGAAGGGAGGGAGGAGAGAGAAGAGAGGAGAGGAAGAAGGGAGGGAGAGAGGAAAGGAAGGAATGATCCTTCAATTAGCAACTTTAGCATCTTCTGAAAGCTTATTAAAAAAGCACAAGACTGGGAAAGTGGCTTAGTGGTAGAGTGTTTTGCCTATATGCATGAAGACCTGTGATTCCTAGTATCACATAAACAGAAAAAGCCAGATGTGGCATTGTGGCTGAACTGGTAGACTGCTAGCCTTGAGCAAAAGAAGCTCAGGAACAGTGCCCAGGCCCTGAGTTCAAGCCCCAGGATTGGAAAAAATAAAATAATAAATAAATAAATAAGCAGACTCACAACCCACCCACCCACCCAGAAATTTATGCCCTCTTAAGCCATGCAGGTGGCTTGTATGCAGGTTAAAGTATGACAAGCACTGGCACATGCAGGTACAAGAAGTAAAATCTTCTCTGGGTGCCCAAAGGTACCGTTTGGCATCCCTATTTGCCTGTATGAAATGGCTCAAAAGGTGACAAATACAGCTGGGAGAACATTTAGAAGCAATGGTAGTCTTTGAAAGAATCAGTTGTGTGAGTCCAAACCAGTCCCAATGAACGGTGCACAGAACTCCACAAATCTAGGGTGCAAGAACAGGCAGATCCTCCTTCACCTCAAGAAGCAAAACAGCAAAGCAGAGCTACTTGGGGGTCCTTACTCACCAGTGAGGCTGAAGCCGTTTTCAGAGCCTGGCTTTTCCAAAGCAAAGAGCCAACCAAACAGGCCTCCGATTGGCGTGAGGGGGAGAAGGGCTTGGGCCGCTGGCTGCGGGATGTGGCTGATGGCTGTGTAGGCTCTGCCATCATTGCCCACGATGTAAGCATGCAGGTCCACGTCAGTAAAGTGCACGGGCGTGAGGCCCACACGGAGGTGACCACTCACTTTTCCATTGACCCGGTGAGGTGCCCCTGAGAGTCAGAAAATCCAGTTAGCCTTAGCCCTGGCCATGGCCCATGGAGTAGGCACCCACACAAAATAATTCCCCTCACAACTCTTCAAACTCCCCCCGCCCTTCCCTCCTCCCCCCCCCCCCCCCCCGCCCCGGCCGTGGGACTTGAACTCTGGGCCTGGGAGCTGGCCCTGAGCTCTTCAGCTCAAGGCAAGCACTCTACCACCTAAGCCACAGCACCACTTCCCTTTTTGGTTTGTTTGGTTTTGTTTTTTTTTTTTTTTTTTTGGGGGGGGGGGGTCTTCCAAACTCACTCTTAAATAAATCTTTGTCAGTCATAAGGCTTAAACTCTGGGTCTGAGTGCTGTCCCTCAGCTCTTCAGCTCAAGGCTAGCGCTCTACCGCTTGAGTCACAGCACCACTTCCAGTTCTCTGGTAGTTAGTTGGAGAGAAGAGTCTCATGGCCTTTCCTGCCCAGACTGGCTTTGAACCGAGATCCTCAGATCTCAGCCTCGTGCACTGCTAGGATTACAGGCATGAGCCACCAGCACCTGGCTCTACAAATCATCTTAATGAAGCCCAAGAGATCTCTTTCTCCCTCTCTTCTTTCTCTCTCTTCCCCAAAGGCTTGGGGTAGGGGGAGAGACTTCTGATGAATCATCAAAGTAGGAAATGGCCTCAACCTGTTGTTAACACTAGATTCAGGGAGAGAAGTAAGGTCCACAGAGCCAAGCTCACACTTCAGACAGACAGACAGAAAGGGCACCCCCAGGCCATCAGTCACCTTCTGGTAAACAGTGTTTCCCATTTCCGTAGAACCTAGATTGGCAGTGGCAGCAAAAGCCGGTGGCATAGTCGGTGCAGAAGGCATGCCGAGAGCATTGATCATGGCTGTGTTCGCAGGTCTCCTGGCGGCCAGCATTGTAGGTGAAGACTGAAAAACAAAACCAACAGCCATCAGAAGCTGCCGAGCTTTTACCATGGAGATGGCATCTGAGCCACAAAATCTGTTGGGATGATAATAAACCAAGAGGGTTTTGAGGCTTAGGAGAGGGGAATTTGCTTGCTTTGTTTTGGCAAGAAGTGAGGCTTTCTGTGGCCTTGTGGGACTCACTGTGATGCTGCTAAGCGATGACCTCGCTGTACCCCTGGGGTCTGAGGACTGCACAGTGAGCAAGCCAGTTAGTACATGCTGAGAGGAACTTCAGGCGTTTGCCTTTTTGTGGGCCAAAAATGTCCAGAGCCTAGCCAATTCCTCATGGGTCACCCCACGAGTAATGAGCTGCTAGGAGAAGAAAAAGGAAGGGAGCTAATAATTGAGATAATGTCCAATCATTCTTCTTGTAACTCTGGACTTTAAGCTAATAAGCTACAGCTAGTCTCACTACCCAGACTTTTATTTTCTGAAAAAGAAGGGCCTTGAAGAGTGTACATACACCTATTATAAAGAAGAATGAGGTGTCAGGCACCAGTGGCTCAAGCCTGTTTTCCTAGCTACTCGGGAGACTGAGATCTAAGGATCGTGGCTAGAAGTCAGCCCAGGCAAGAAAGTCCATGAGGCTCTCATCTCCAATTAGTCACCAAAAGGCTGGAAGTAGAGCTGTGGCTCAAGTGGTAAAATGCCAGCCTTGAGTGAAAAAGCTAAGGACAGTGCCTAGGTCCTGAGTTCAAGCCTGGTACAAGAACAAGAAAAAGGAGGAGGAAGAGGAGGAGGAGAAGGAAAAGGATGAAGAAGAGGAAGAGGTGGTAACAGAGGAGAAGAAGCAGGAAGGGCTGAAGGAGAGAGAAAGGAAGAGAGAATCAAGGAGTGAAAATGTTCTGACCCTTGCAGGCCCAGCACAAGCATGATTTTTATGCAAGAGAAAGCGTTGGAGTGATAGTCACAGACTTTCTAGAAAGCCATAGTAAACTAGGATGAGCTTTTAGTCCAGGCTCTGTTGCTCCTGTCGGGAGCAACATTTGGCTCATTAAAAAATTTAAAAGGGGGGGGAGAATGGGGGGGGGGGGAACAGGAGATGGGAAGGATGGAAAGGGGAAACAAAGGAGGAGGCAACAATGCTTGATAAGAAATGCACTCATTACCTTGCTCGTGTAATTTTAACCCCTCTGTACAGTATTTTCACAATAAAAAAAAAGAAAAAAAATTTAAAAAGAGGGTTATTTGTGCTACAGGGGGAAAAAAGAGCAAAGTCCACTGTCTATAAAGGAAATGTCCAAGGTGACAGGGTGTGGAGGGATTCATAGTGGGCACAAGGCTGCCAGGACACTGATGAAAATGTCAAGTCCAGCCATGGCCAGCAGGAGGCCAAGAGACATCCTGCAGCTTGCAGCATCATAAGCATAGAGAAGAAATGACAGGGAAGTCTGATGGACACTAGTGGTCCTGTCACCAAAGACACCCTACCAGGAAAATCTAGATCATAGCTGCATTCCAGGTCTGAGTCCAAAATGAGAAATCAGGAGGGGAAGGAAGATATCAAAAGATCATCAATATTCCAAGACAGGAAACCAATGGGGAAAGTACAGAACCATATATGTAACAACTGTAGACTTGTATCTCCAATTAAAATGAGCATAAACTTCTATCCTCAAGAAAATGTTACATGTAACAACGTTAACATTAATGTTTCATATATACAAAATACTCTGTCCCAAAATATAAGTTGAAATCTTTTCATTTTACACAAAAACCCTGGGAAGCAGGAACTGTTTTTAATCTTTGTTGTTTACAGATAAAGAAATTGTTCAGCCAGGCACCAATGGCTCACACCTGTAATCCTAGCTACTCAGGAGGCTGAAAGTTTGAAATCAGCTCAAGCAGGAAAGTCTGTGAGATTCATCTCCATTTAACCACCACAAAGCCAGAAATGGAGCTGTGGCTTAAGTGGTAGAGCACCAGCCTTTAATGAAACAGCTAAGGACAGCACCCAGGCCTGAGTTCAAGCTCCGGCACTGGCACACACAAAGGAAGGAAGGAAGGAAGGAAGGAAGGAAGGAAGGAAGGAAGGGAGGGAGGGAGGGAGGGAAAGGAAAGGGAGGGAGGGAGGGAAGGAAAGGAAAGGAAAGGAAAGGAAAGGAAAGGAAAGGAAAGGAGGGAGGAAGGAAGGAGAGGAAAAAGTCAAAGTGACTCATGTGAAGTCACCCAGGCAGTGCTTGACAAAGGTGAATCTCAACCCAGAATTTTTTTTGAGGTCACTTTGACCTTTTGTTATTATTATTATTATTATTGTCAAGGCAATGTACAGAGGGGTTATAGTTACATAAGTAAGGTTCAACCCAGAATCTTGACCACTACTCTCCCCTACCCTCAGTGGGATCCAAGTTCTTACCAGAGGAACACTATAGCTTAAAGATATATCAGGTAGGTATTAGTCATTAATCAGCACTGGCTCTAGCAAGCCAGATGGGATACAGATGAGGCTAAAGAGAGGACAGAGCAGAGATGGCCCATGGAGAGCCCAGAATGTGAGAAGAACACAGGTAAGAGTGGAATAGCACGGCCATTCACTTTTGGAGAGCACCAACCAGCTGAAGAGTGCCAGGTGGAGCAGAGAAGCCCGCCTTGAATGGAAAACCTGACAGGAGTGCAGGAAGAATGAGGTCAGTGCCTTGTCAAGATTTGTCCTAGAGCCTTGATGATGTGGCTGAGAAACTCCAGCTTCAATACAAACAGAAAATTAGGCATAACTTAACTTTTGAATAGGAAAGTGACAGGCAGAACTCAAATTGCTCTGAAACAGGAAAATGACAAAATTCAAAGCATTAAAAAAAACAGGCGGATCATGATAAATTATTAGAGGTTTCTATAAAGAAAACCATCACTGTATCACTGGCTTAGAACACAGGTGTTTTCTTTTTATTTACTTAATATGTTTGGTCCTGGAGAAGGAACTGGGACCTCACACATACAAAGTATATACTCCACTGTGCTACAACCCCAGCCCTCCAAAAACCATGCTGAGTAAACAAAAATGAATGTAACTTGGGTGTGTCAAAGTCTCAGGTTTCTTCAGCTAAGAAAATCACAAGTAAGTGTGAGCTGCAGTTACTTGAGAAGCTTGAACAGTGTGTCCTATAGAGGTGTGTGTGTATGTGTGTGTGTGTGTGTGTGTGTAAGATCCCAAATGCTCAGACTCCAGCTCTGCTTGAGTGCTGTATATAGTAAAAACTAGAGGGTGTGTGTGTGTGTGTGTGTAAGATCCCAAATGCTCAGACTCCAGCTCTGCTTGAGTGCTGTATATAGTAAAAACTAGAGTGTGTGTGTGTGTGTGTGTGCGCTATAGAGGGGTGTGTGTTTGTGTGTGTGTGTGTGTGGGTGTGTGTGTGTGTATAAGATCCCTCAGACTCTAGCTCTGCTTGAGTGCTGTATATAGTAAAAACTAGAGTGTGTGTGTGTGTGTGTGTGCGCTATAGAGGGGTGTGTGTTTGTGTGTGTGTGTGTGTGTGTGTATAAGATCCCAAATGCTCAGACTCCAGCTCTGCTTGAGTGCTGTATATAGTAAAAACTAGAGGGTGTGTGTGTGTGTGTGTAAGATCCCAAATGCTCAGACTCCAGCTCTGCTTGAGTGCTGTATATAGTAAAAACTACTGGTTCCATAAAACCAGAGCACACAGTGTCAGCTCTCTCACCTCAGGGAGATCAGTGAAGGCATAGATCAGTTGGGACCCAGGAACTCCAGAATGGCATGTTGGCCAAGCAAGCCAAAATCAAATGCAAAAGACATATTATTGCAAAATATCTTGCTTTTGCCCCTCCCTAGCTCCTTCTAGTTTTGACATCTTTCCCATGATCCTGGAAAAGGATTTGTACAAAGGACCTGATTAGGAATTAACAACCAATCAGAATGGTGTAGGACTCTGACAAATAAAAAGTCACCTTCGAAAAGTACTTAGTTTTATAATAGGGGCAACCAATCAGAACAAAGCCCAGGGTATCAAAACCTCTAGGCTCAGAGCTACCTACACAGACACACAGAGGAAAGGCTTCTCACCAAGATACTGGTCTTTGTAAACTTCATGCTTCCTACAACAGTGGCGGGCATTGTCTGTATCTGAGCTGCAACACCAAGCAGGTGTTGTCTAGTACAGAACTACAACCCTAAGGGTCTCTGTATGTGGACTCTGCCCACCACAAACAGCGAAAGAAATCCACATTATCAGGATGACACTTCTTCCTCACACCTTCATTGCCAGAAACCAGTTTTCTTCCCACACCTCTAAGACCAGGTGAAAAGGCAGTCTGATTCAGGTCTAAAGCTGTCATTTTCAAAAAATTCAGGCAAATGTAAAGCTAACTTTGACACATTGTTCTGTCTACAAAAATAAGGAAATGATAGATTTGTACTGTAGTCCCTCAAACTGTTTTGATCTTGTGAAGGCTTATTCTTTGGCCTAGTTCTCTCAAGTCTGAATTACCAAACAGGGAAATGGAAAGGGGATGGAAGAGAAACTACAGATCCAGGGTCAAGCTAATTTAACTGTAAAACTAGGGTGATTGCTGCTTTTGTAGGGATAAAAGGAGAGAGGTACAGCAACTTACACATGCAACCATGCAAAAGGCTGTAAATTAATTGGAAACCAAGATGGTATTTTGCTACCAAAATAAATAAGTAATAATACTAATAATTAGGCTCTTATCGAGGGATATTCTGAGAGTCAAACTATAACAGGTCGAATAGAAAGCTAACCTAAAGGATCTTCTCTGACAATTTTCTTTTCTGTCGGTTGTAAGACTTGAACTCAGTGCCTGGGCGCTGTCCCTGAGCTTTTGTGCTCAGGGGTAGCACTCTACCATTTTGAGCCACACCTCCACTTCAAGTTTTCTGGGCTGGGAAGGTGGTTCAGTGGTAAGAATGCTTGCCTTGCATGCATGAGGCCCTGGGTTCGATTCCTCAGCACCACATAAGCAAAAAGAAAAAAGCTGGAAGTGGTGCT